CTGTATGTATATATATATACATATATATATATATATAACTGACTTTTTCGTTCACAATAAACAACACTTTGTGGGGCATGTGGGGGAAATTTTTCTATTTAAACAAATTAGCTTCTAAGCTAATTTAGCTATTTAAATTAGCTCACGCTACATAGCTTAATCTATTGAGGTACAACAACAAGTTCATTTAGACAAAACATTTATTCAGTGTTACCTGGTCCAACTTTCAAATCTCTGCAGAGCTACATAAGTCATTAAAAGTTTTGTTTTGTTTTTTACATAAATGGTTAACAGTTTGCGTTAGCATCTCAGAGTAGAAACAACAACCTGGTTCATTTCTCTTTACTTTGCGTTTAAACATCGTGCTGAAATGCGACATTTGTGCTGGTGAAAAGCAAATACCTTTTAAAGCGAGCAAATGTTCCTGCTTCGTCTGATTTACGTCCATTTTGAACTAAAAATGTGTCTAATCTTTCCAGCAGCAGGGTGACAGGATGTTTTCCTGCTAGTTTCTGGAGCTTTTAACCTGACCGGAAGTGAAACTCTTCTTCACGGGTCAGTTTTAAACCAACTCTACGCTCCAGGATGTTTACTGCCCTCTCCTGTTTACAATAGATACTACAACAACCAAAATATTTTTTATTATCCACTTGAGTTGTAAGAATAAAATGTTTATTCAAAAGTATGTACTTGCAGCTTGGTTTTTTTTTTTGACAAGATAAATAATGCGACTTCTTTACGTTTTTTAAATTGTACTCTCCCCACTACAGTATTATTTTTGCTCTGCACATATCATCAACATTGCACCCCTCTGACATGAAAATTGTTTTTTATTTTCCCAGAGACTTTCAGGGTTTATTGATCCATAATGAACTAATGACTGGTTACCTCACTGACTATACATTTTATCAAAGCATTTTTAGGAGCTGCAGGGACATTTTTCACCGTTTTAATGAGGGAAACGAGACTGCCTCGTAGAATACATACCGAATACAGATCATATTTATTGATAAAAATAAACGTCTACAATACTCTCATTAATATAAGCATGTCTGCACTGGTTTATAATAACGTTATTTGCATTAAAAATGGAATAACGATACCCAGACAGAATTTCTAGGCGCAGCCGAGGTGTTGAGGGGATCCGTTTTGGTGGCCTTAGGATCGCATCTCTGCTTTTTGCGGATGATGTGGTCCTGTTGGC